CGAGCAAGCTCAAGTTTGGAAGCGATGTTGTCAAAGCGGCCGCGGCCTGTGATATCGTTGCCATATGGCCCAAGATGTCTCAAGGAGTGTCTCCGATGCTTCGTGATGGCCCCCAAGATGGCTTAATATAGACGAAGATGGTTCAAGGTGGCCCCCGACGCGCATCCAGAAGGCTCCCAAAGGACCACAAACCCTCGAGCCCCCATCAGGACACCACCGCCAAAATCGCACCAGAAACCACAGAAAGTCCACGACGGCAGCCTGCTCGTCTTTGCTTCCCCTGGTGTGGTGCGAGGCCCCAAAGCGGCCCCAGGCTGGCCCAAGAAAGCCCCAAGAAGGGCCCCAACATGGGGAAACCAAAAGGTACCGATACCGCTACTCCCCGGACCTCTCAAGGGGTGCGTTCTGACCAGGATTTCAAGGCGAACCCAGCGGCGGAGACGAGGGCCGCCCAGGAGGCCTGAAAAATGGAAAACGAGGCGAGGGTAGGGGTATGGGTACCTTGCCCCCTCTTGCGAGACCGATGTTGCATCACAGCAGCAATTCGGCCCCTGACTTTCGTCCTGGGTTCGGTTCAGTGAGGTGATGAATTTCGGGGTCCTTGCGTGGGAAAAAACATCCCTTCACCAATCTGGGGCCCCTGGGGCCTCAGTGGGCCCTGGGGCCCAAAATTAGTGAAGTGATGGTTTTCGGGCCTCGGACCTCTGACAGCAGGCCCGGCGTGCCGCCGGCGGGCGCCGCTCGGGGCGCCATGGGAGGGCGAGGGGGGAGGGGGGGGGGAGGAGGGGAGGAGGGGGGGGAGGAGGAGGAGGAGGAGGAGGAAGGAGGAGGAGGAGGAGGAGGAGGAGGAGGAGGGCGAGGAAAGGGAAAGGAGGGGGGGGAGGGGGCGGGAAAGGAGGGGGAGAGGGAGCCCCAGGGCGGCCCCGAGGCCGCCTCAGAGATCGCCCCCCGCGACTGCCCCGAGAGAGGCGACGTCGACGCCCCCCTATATGAGGCCGCCGCGCCGCGGGCGCGCCGCGGGCGCGCCGCGGGCAGGCGCGCGGCGCCCCGGGCTTCGGCCGGGCGCGCCCCCGCTTACAACGACGCGAGGATCGGCCCCTTCAAGAAGGGAGGAGGCCGCGGCCCTCCCAGAGGGGCGCCTCTGGCCCCCCTCGGCCCCGCCACGAGTGAGCGAGCAACGACATATGTACATGTACGCCCTCCGCGATCTTGAGTGCACGAACGTCCTCGTTCAAATGCCCTCCAGGGGAAGCTAACCGCGTACATGTACATATGTTGCTGGCCTCTGAACGAGGGAGCGGCCGCCGGAGCGGCCTCCTGCCCGGACCCCCTGGAAGCCCTGCAGAGACGGCTCGAGCCAGACTCCCCGCCCCCCCCAATCAAACGACGCGAGGGTCGGGACAAAATCGGATCGGGATGACTCGAAATCTCTGAGAAGCGGCGAGTTTGGAGGATGGATTGGGCGCCGCGGCCGCTCCGGAGCGTTCCGGAACGCCCTGGGAGCGCTCTGGAACGCTCTGGAGCGATGTATCCCGATCCTAGCCCTGTTTTACCCCTACAGGCGGACGCTGGACAAAAGATTGAAAATAGTTAAAAGAAAATATTCGAAATTGGTCCAAAAGATTCCGGAAGTCAGCCCCACCATTTCTGAACCTTCCTCCTGCAGAAGGACAGGCGACCCCAGGCGCTCGAGCGCCTCTGTTTTTTTTGTTGCCCGGGGGGGCGCGGCGGCGGACCGCCCCCCTCTGCAATGGCCGGGCGGGGGGTGCGTCCTCCCAGGATGAGGTCGGGCCTGTCACCCTGCAGGCGGATGGTGGGCGAAAAATTTCAAACATTCGAAAAAAATATCCAATAATGCTAAAAATCGTCCCCGGACAATTTTTCAACTATGTTTGAACATTCCCCCTGTAGAGGGACAGGCCCGACTTAATCCCAGGGTCCTCCAGGGCGGGGGGCGGAGGAGGGAAGGACGAGAGAACGCTGGAGCCGAGGGCGACGAGGAGGGCGGACAGCCCAGGGGACCATGAGAATCCAACGTTCACAACGCATGCTCGAAGACCTCAAGCGTGGAGAACCCTGCAACCTCTCCCGGGGAACCTGCGGGTCGGTCATGCGACCTCTCCCGGGGCACCTACAGGTACGCCTCTGGGCCCCTGGAAGTGCTGCAGAGAGAAGAGGTGGGACAGAAGAAACGATAGCAACAGAGAGCGGGAAACGGAAAGATAGAGAGAGACAGAGATAAAGAAAGAAACATAAAAATGAGGGGGGAAAAGAGAGAGAGAGAGGAGCAAGAAAACGCATCAGAAAAGAAAGAAAGATAGTGTGTGAGCAATAAAGACAGAGAAAGAGAGAGAGAGAGAGGGAGGAAGAGAGGAAGAGAGCGAAAGAGAGCGAGATAGAGATAAACAAAAGAGGGTGATGAAAGGTATAGAACGACACAGAGGGCGCACGTAGAGAGCGAGAAAGAGAGAGGGAGAGAGAGAGAGAGAGAGAAAAAAAAAAAAAAAAAAAAAAAAAAAAAAAAAAAAAAAAAAAAAAAAAAAAAAAAAAAAAAAAAAAAAAAAAAAAAAAAAAAAAAAAAACGAGCGAGAGAGAGTTGCTGGGGAAAAGAAAGAGAGAGAGAGAGAGAGGGGGAGAGAGAGAGGGGGGGGAACAAAAAAAGCAATGATAGAGATAGAAAAAGACTCAGAGAAAGAGGAGGGGCTATAAACAGAACGAGAAAGGAAAGAGAAAAAGGAGCGAGAGCGCGAGAGAGAGAACGCGAGAGAGAGAAAGGAATAAATAAACCAACAAAGAGGAGAAGGAGAGAGAGAGAGAGGGATAAGCCAAAGAAAGAAATAGCGAGATAGAGAGAGAAACATAAAGAAAATGAGAGACAGAGAGAGGGAGAGATAGAGAACACATAGAAAGAGAGAAGGAGAGAGGAAGAGCGGGAGAGAGGGAGAGAGGGAGAGATACAGTGAGAGAGAGAGAGGCACGGAGAGAGGGAGAGAGAAACAAATCCCGACGGTAAGGCCCCACATGATGATATAGGTACATTGCCGCTCGCCCTGTTCTTCTTCGACTGGCAGACGCCTTCCTTCCGCCCTCTGCGTCCTCCTCCTCATCCTCCTGTTCCTCATTGTCCTCCTCGTGTTCCTTCTCGTCCTACTCGTTACGACGCTCGTGTCCGCCACCGTGCCGTCGGCACGCCGGGGCGTGACAGAATGCCTGTTGGCTGCCTGGCGCGGCTTCTGTAGGCTACCGAATTCAGGCCCTCCCCCCCCACGGAGAGCGCGTCGTCCGAAAACCGTCCCCCATGGAGGCTAGCAGGGTGGTTCTTGGCATGGACCCCCACTGTGTGCTTTCTGCTTGGACGTTTGCGAGTAGGCACTTTACGAGTAGTGGAGCGCGCTCGGTGGCTCACGACCTCCCCAGCCTGTGCCGCCCCGCTGCCGGAGCCCAAGCCACAGGGCGCCGGGGTGGGGTGCTTGGCACCGCGCCGCCAGCAGTCGGGTGATGCTAGTCCTCCTCCTCCTCCTCCTCCTCCTCCTCCTCCTCCTCCTCCTCCTCCTCCTCCTCCTCCTCCTCCTCCTCCTCCTCCCCCTCCCTTCCCTCCTCATCCTCATCCTCATCCTCATCCTCATCCTCATCCTCATCCTCCTCATCATGATCATGATCATGATCATCATCATCATCATCATCATCATCATCATCATCATCATCATATCATCAGCATCATCATCATCATCATCATCATCATCATCATCATCATTATCATCATCATCATCATCATCATCATCATCATCATCATCATCATCGTCGTCGTCATCATCATCATCATCATCATCAACATCAACATCATCATCATCATCATCATCATCAGCAGCAGCAGCAGCAGCAGTAGCATCATCGTCATCATCGACATCAGCATCATCATCATCATCAGCAGCAGCATCATCGTCATCATCAACATCAGCATCATCATCAACATCGGCATCAGCATCACATCATCATCATCAGCATCCTCATCATCATCATCATCATCATCATCATCATCATCATCATCATCATCATCATCATCATCATCATCATCATCATCATCATCATCATTCTCATCATCAGCATCAGCATCAGCATCATCAGCATCAGCATCAGCATCGTCACACTCACCATCATCATCAGCAGCATCGTCATCATCAGCAGCATCATCACCATCATGCTCATCATCATCAGGCTCAGCATCATCATCATCATCATCATCAGCATCATCATCATCATCATCATCACCATCATGCTCATCATCAGGCTCAGCATCATCATCGTCGTCGTCATCATCATCGTCCTCATCCTCCTCATCATAATCATCATCCTCATCCTCATTATCATCCCCATTGTCCTCATCATCATCATCATCATCATCATCATCATCATCATCATCCTCATCATCCTCATCATCCTCATCATCCTCATCATCAGCAGCAGCATCAGCATAAGCATCAGCACCGTCCTCATCCTCATCCTCATCCTCATCCTCATCCTCCTCCTCATCCTCATCCTGATCCTGATCCTGATCCTGATCATTATCCTCCTCCTCATCCTCATCCTAATCCTCATCCTCATCATCATCCTCATCCTCCTCCTCGTCCTAGCTTGCCCGTCACGAGCTCGAGTACCTCAGCGAGCGACGGCGACGCAGGCGCAGCGCCTCGTGCCTCGCCGACCCCCGTGCTCTTGGCGCCCGTGCGGGAGACCGTGGCCCCGCACTCACACTTGAAGCCGCCCATGCCAAGCTGGCTCGGACGTGGGGAAGGGGCTGTCGACGCCGACCTCGGGGGTCTGGCGCCCAGGGCGGCCTCAACTCAGAGCGCTCTGCGAAATGCGGGCTTGAGAGTGGGCCAACGAATAGGAGGAGGAAGGGGAGGAGGAGGAGGAGGAGGAGGAGGAGGAGGAGGAGGAGGAGGAGGCGCGAGGCGCGAGGGGCGAGGGGCGAGGGGCGAGGATCGAGGAGGAGGAGGAGCGCTCCTTCGGCACCTTCCACTCCATGTACCCGTCCGCCGTGTACTCGACGTCGAAGGTCCCGTCGCTGTGCTTCGCGACAATCTTGGCGCTCCTGCGGGGCCGCCGCTGGCGGCACGCCCGGGCCTCGGGCCTCGGAGGCCCGCGCGGGGGTCCCCCGGGGGGGTCGACGCTGGAGCCCCGTCTCCTCCTCCTCCTCTCCTCCTCCTCCTCGTCCTCCTCCTCGTCCTCCTCCTCCTCCTCCTCCTCCTCCCTCCTCCCTCTCCTCCTCCTCCTCCTCCTTCTCCTCCTCTTCCTCCTCCTTCTCCTCCTCCTCCTCCTCCTCCTCCTGATCCTCCTAATCCTGCAGGCTGGCCTGGGGCGAAAAATTCCGCCGCTCCGGCGCGCGAGTTTCTGAGAGCGCGGGCTTGAGCTCGCTCAAGCTTCGCTCTGCAGGAGGGGGGGGGGGGGCGTACGTCATGGCCGACGTCATGTCCGACGTTTGTCGGCACCCGGGGATACTTCCGACGTCATTTCCGACGTTTTGTCAGTACCCCGGGCCCCTTCTTCCCCTCGCTCTCACCCCCCCCCCGGATCGGCGGCACTGGCCGGAGGCCAGCCCATTGAAGATAGTCACAAAATACTCAAAAATTGTCAACAAAGAACCGACACATCGTCCCCACTCGATTTTTGTTTGACTGTTTTTGGAGACTCCTCCTGTAGAAGGACACGCCGGACTTAAGAACAGCGCCTTCGGCACCGCCCTCAGCGAGCTAGGATGCGGGGAGCCGGGGGCGTCCAGGAGGGGGGCGTCCAGGAGGGGGGTTAGCAAAGCATCGCACGAGGCACGTGCGCCGACGAGGGGGGGGGACCAGGGGACGCATCGAAAGAAGAAAAGGTCGCCATGAAATCTGGGGGATTTCTCGGGGGCGCGCAAACATGGATTTGCGATCCATGGATTTGGCGCGCGGTCGCCAAATCCATGGATCGGAGGAGGTGCCCTACCCAAAATGCGGCCGGTGCCGCCTCGTTCGGCGGCAGAATTCCGCGATTTCCCATGAACACGAGACCCGTCGCTAATCCACGCGCCCTTGATCGATGTTTGCGATCGCCTGAATTGCATGGCCTGGCCATGTTTAATTATCCCCTCCCCCATTAACTATGGTCTTCACCCCCCTCTTGGACGCTCCCGAGGGAGGAAAGCCCTGCGCTTCTGGCCATGATACCCCATCCCCCATTGACTATAGTCTTCACCCCCCTCCTGGACGCTCCCGAGGAAGGAAAGCCCTGCGCTTCCACGCATCCCTCAGCGGCGACTTCGGTACCGCCCCCCTGGTCTCTTAAATTCAGGCTTTGAGAATTGGCACCAACGTCAAGACTGGAGGTTGCCTACACCGGGGGGAGATGATCCTGGATTTTGGTGCTTTGGTACTGCACCGGCCACCTCAGAAGCCCGAAAGTTACCACCATCACCCGGATCAAGACCATCGTCTCTCGATGGAGGCAACCGCCGATACTGCTGATGGTGCCAACCTCCAGGCCTCCGATGAGGAAGTCGCGGGTCTCCGTGGGTCTCTGGATGTCTCCGCGGAAGCCTCCCGAGTCTCCAGAGGCCTCCGCAGGCTGGAGCACGAGCCAAAAACGCACCGAAACCGCAGAGGAAAGCCGACCTCCGAAGACCTCCGACGCACCCCCGGCGAACAGCACGCCTCTTCCAGCGTCGGGGGGCGACGCGCCAGACAGCCCCGACCCGCAGGGTCGCCCCGACGGCCCTGGGGCCTCCGGTGCGGGCCCCCAGGTGCCGCAATCGAGGCCAGAACGCCGCCGCCGAGCGAGCAGTCGCGCGGGCGGGGGCCCGCGGAGACAGAGAGGCAGAGAGAGAGAGAGAGACGGGGAGAGACGGGACGGGAGGCCTCGGGTGCGGGATGGGGCAGCTGTGGTCGCGTGCGCGCAGCGGCCGCCCTGCGCGCAGCGACCGCTGAAAAGGATCGCTCCCAAAAAATCTCACCCCGAGTCTCGGCGCCAGTCCGGCAAGACTGCCTCGCTCCCGTGGTGGTCGGGGGTGGGGGGTCATCTGGGGTTCCTCGCGCACTGCTACGCGAGCATCTATGCAAGGACACGAGGTCCGCGTGGCTCAGCCTCGGAAGTTCTCCTCCCTGGGACACAGATGCCCCATGATCCCCCGAAGATTCATCCCTCCAAGACCGTCCCCTCCAACCATACAGAGTGCCATAGTGGTAGGGCCAAATGCCCTCAAGGTATGGGTTCCTTTGCCCTCGAGGCTCCTCCAGTCGCCCCCGTCCTTAAAATTGCCCTCCACCAGCGAGCCGGCGTCCCAGCTGGCCGGGTCGCCCCCTGCCGCCCGCGCGGGGGCGTCGAAGGGCGGCAGTCCCCCTGCGCGAAGGACGCTGGCGACCGCGACGACGACGGCGACGACGACGACAACGACGACGACGACGGCGGCGGCGGCAGCGGCGGCGGCGCCCCCCCTGTGGGAAGAGAGAGAGATCTATATCTATATATATATATATATACATACATACATACATACATACATACAGACAGACAGACAGACAGACAGACAGACAGACAGACAGGCATCATATACGTGTGTATATACATATAGATATATATATATATACATGTATTCTGAGACCGGCTGTTTTGGTGCGTTTCCTGTGGATCTTCTTCGCCACGGCCGGGCGCGGCTCGACAGACTGGCCAAGACGTACCCTGTCAGGGGAGCAGGATTTCATTCTGAGCGGATCTCGGCTTCGGCCTTCGAGGACGGAGGATACGACGGCTGAGACGGCGGCGGCGGCCGCCGTTGCTGGAGGTCTGGGGGGGAGGCTTCCGCGACGGCGCTGGCGGCCTGCTGGCGGGCCCCCGTGCCACTGGCCTGGCGGCGCCTCGCACGGCCGCCGTCGCCTCCGCCGCCGGCGCCGTCGTCGTCGTCGACGACGTCGACGCCGCCGCCGACGGTGCCGTCGCCGCAGTGGCCATCCCTGCCGCAGCAGGCATCGTCGTCACCCTCGCTGTCGCCGCCGCCGTCGCCGAAGCCGAAGCCGTCGACGCCGTCGCCATCGCGGCCGCTGTCGCGTCATCGTGGTCACCACAATGGCCGTCATCGCCCTTGCCGTCACCGACGCCGTCGCCGTCGCCGTCTTCTGCCGCCGCCCCAGCCCCATGCAGCCGCCGCCGCCGCCGTGGCCACAGCGGTCGCCGCCGCCGCCGCGAATCGCAGCCGCCGCCGCCGCCGCGAGCGCCGCCGCCGCCGCGAATGCGCGGCCGCCGCGGCCGTGTTCGCCGCCGCCGTCGCCCGCGGCGCCTCGAACGGCGGCCGGCCGCCGGCGCTCGGCCCGCCCGCGCCCACGTCGAAGGGCGGGCGCTCGCCGAAGCCGGGCGGCCGCATGGGGCCCATGTCGAAGGGCGGCCGCTCGCCGGGGCCCGGCGGGCGCCCGAAGGGCGGCGGCGGCATGCCCGGCGGCATGCCTGGGCGAGGACAACGGCTGGCGGTCTGACGGGCTCCCTCTCCTCCCCCTCCTCCTCCTCCTCCTCCTCCTCCACCTCCTCCTCCTCCTCCACCTCTCCTCCTCCTCCTCCTCCTCCTCCTCCTCCTCCTCCTCCTACTCCTCCTCCTCCCTCCTCCTCCTCCTCCTTCCTCTCCTCCTCCTCCTCCCTCCTCCTCCTCCTCCTCCTCCTCCTCCTCCTCCTCCTCCTTGTCCTCGTCCTCGTCCTCGTCGTCGGCTTCGTCATCGCCATCATCACAATCGTCAGCATCAGCATCATCAGCATCAGCAGCAGCAGCAGCAGCAGTAGCATCATCATCAGCAGCACCAGCATCAGCATCATCATCATCATCATCATCATCATCATCATCATCATCATCATCATCATCATCATCATCATCATCATCATCATCATCATCATCAGCATCATCATCATCATCATCATCATCATCATCATCATCATCATCATCATCATCATCATCATCATCATCATCATCATCAGCATCATCATCATCATCATCATCATCATCATCATCATCATCATCATCATAGTCATAGGCATCGTCGTCATCATCATCATCATCATCGTCATCATCATCATCGGCATCAGCATCATCATCATCATCATCATCATCATCATCATCATCATCATCATCATCATCGTCATCGTCATCGTCATCGGCGTCATCATCCTCATCCTCCTCATCCTCATCATCAGCATCATCATCATCATCATCATCATCATCATCATCATCATCGCCATCACCATCATAATCTTCATTATCATAAGCATGAGCACCATCATCAATATCATCATCAGCATCAGCATAATTAGCATCATTCGCATCATGTTCGTCACCATCATCATCAACAGCAGCATCATCATCAACAACATCATCATCGCCATCATCATCATCGTCAGCATCATCATCGTCATCATAATCGTCATCAACATCGTCATCATCAACATCAGCATCATCAGCAGCACCAGCATCAACAGCATCATCATCATTACCATCGCCATCACCAGCACCATCACCCTCACTATGGCCAGCAGAATGCTCATACGCGAAGCCATTAGCAACGTCATCATCATAACATTAGTCGTCGTCATCATCTTCACCACAACAACCACCGCCACAATCATCGTAATCGTCAGCATCGTCATCATCATCGGCATCAGTATGATCGTCATGGTCATCATCATCAGCATCATCAGCAGCATCATCATTATCATCATCATAATCCTCAGCATCAGCATCATCGTCATGCTCCTCAGTCGCAGTTTCGACATCATCAGCATCATCAACATAATTAGCATCATCAGCATCACCATCATCGCCACCACCACCACCAACAGCATCATCATCAGCATCGGCATCTTCATCATCATCATCATCATCATCATCATCAGTATCATCATCAGCATCGTCATCATCATCATCATCATCATCATCATCAGCATCATCATCATCATCGTTGTCATCATCAGCATCATTATCAGAATCATCGTCTGCATCATCTTCCCCATAGTCATCA